TGTTTAGCTCTGATTAGTTACTAAGATAGTTTGTTCAAATATGGCAAATTTTGGCTGTTTTCCTATATATTTTTTATTATATCTTTATGTATAAGTACCGTAAATTTAACTGAATTTATTGTGTTTTAATTCTTTGAAATACCTTAACCAGTCAATTTCACTGAAGACTGGAAAATAGGACTGACTAAAACAATGATTACTCCTGCTTGGTTGGTTATGTCATATTCCGATTATAATAAACTAGAAATATATTTGCCTTCAGACTCTACTACAGTATCAAGAAAATAAGAATATAATATAGTGTCCCATTGTAAGTTGGTTTCAAAATATTACTACTATTACTCTTATCGGAGGAATTAATTGATATATAACATATATTAAAGGAGCTAAATTGCTAACATTTGGGACCTAGAAATTGACAAAAGTGGGTTGCAACACATATAATACTGTAGTATGAATGTATATAAACTGATTTACATTCAATGGTTTCCGTTTTTACTCCAATTTCAAATCAGTTATGTTCGGCGACATAAACCAGCAGTCTCAAGCGAGTGCAAATTTCTAGCGTCTAGTTATTCCAGTCTACATACGCCGTTTAATTTGGTGCAATGTGTCTAGCCTCATCCCTCGAGTCTCTTGATACAACTGGGGCTGAAGCGCATTATGGTACACGATTCGTGTACCAATGGTAAAATGTTTATTTTGTCTTAAATATTGGATATCAAAAGCCCATCACAACATGAATGTTGATTTAATTTGACAAATAAATCGTGTTTTCAATGTTGAAGATTTTGGATGATATTGAGTTAGAGACTTAGCTACTTTAAATCTGGTTTGAAAATGACTATTTGTTTTGGGTACAGGCATTTGAAATGATTTGCTTACACAACTATTATGCTGTAAATATGCAGAAGATGTGTATACCACTCGCCATATTTTTTTTTTTGACTAATGTTATATTCAATCATCAGGTCTCTTTATTTCCTTACCATTTTATTAAAGGCTCAATACCACTCTTTTTGTAACTGAATAATATGTCCCAATCTTTATTCTGGTCAACAAATTGTACTATTTTACAATATTCCAATTAATTGATGATACAAATTTCATCTTAACGCACCTTATTTAAAAATTTTGAAAAATTCAACATAATGGTTTGAAACGTCTAACGTAAACCTTTTCAAATGAAACTTCGATTTAAAAATATTTTCGAACCCTCTGGACAAGTAAAACAGGATGTAATGGATAATTTACACAACAGGTAGGACACTTAAACATCTAGTACTTAGATAGAGATATTATTTATTTTCTGGAGCTTTCAAGCCAGCATGAGTGTTATTGTCCCTTTAAGGATAGGGAAAAGGTGATTGGGGCTATATATAAATATAAATTCACAACCCTTAGACCAACTTTAAAATGAATGTCATAAGACCAGTTAGTGCATAAAAGTTAAAACACATTTCATTTTAGCTGAATACAATGCATCAAAGCATGTGATGGCGCACACAAAGTAGCAGTGCACACAGAAAAAGATACGTAGTTGAAGCAAAATTTTACACTTAGGCATACAAAAAAAAAAAGATACTTATACATGTATAACCGATATCTGATGGACAATCCGAGGTTGCCATTCCATTCTATTCGATAAATGGATCGCATGCTTCGGAGGATCACCAAGAATCCAGATCTCTCTCCTCGTGGCACTTTTTTAAACAGATATTTGTCTTTAATCGCAAATGAGTAATTTTTTGCTAAAATGTATGTGCTCTAAAATTGCCAGGAATTCAAAGTTCTTCAGGTTACTTCATTTTAATCTAAGATGTACATAATATATTCATCTCAAATTCCTTACTGAAGTTATACAGGAATTTGCCATAACCATAAAGCTAAACCATGATATTTATACATGGAGATTCAAGGTTGTTTTCTTGTCTTATGAAAGAATGTATACTTGTTTATTTAGTACAGTTATCAAACCCTTAACAGATCAGATGCTAAAAAAATATTACGAGTCAAATGTTATCAAAACAGTCATATCATTAGTGAAGCATATTTTACAATCTTTGTTACTAAATCTCAAGAGAGCTAAAAAAAAAAAAAAAATGTGGGCGTGATACAAAAAGTGCTCTTGTTAAAAAAAGATCAACTTGTCCAAGATCTGGAAGGGGGATAATTTAGTAATATTAATTAAAGAAATAGGCTGTAGGACCTTGTACTGGAACTGAATATATTACCAGTAGTTAAATAATGAATTTTAAAATGAATCACAGAGTATGAAAATATATTCTCTTCATGAATGTTCGTGGCATTTTTACAGTCAAAATTTTAACTGAAGTCACATCAATTTGTATTGTATTGAAAGAAGCTAGTATGCATGTAGCATTGTTGCAACATTGGGCTACTCAGAAGGCACCTCAAATACCAATGGCAGAGCACCGGTTGACATTTAGTAATGATTATTTATTTAATTTATTCACGGTAGAGCTTTTCAAAACAATTTGGGTCTTTATGTTTATTGTTCTTGTTCATAAGTATTATAATAATAATAAATATCAGTTTTATGACCTAATGATGCTCGAGAAGAAATGCATCTTTGAAGAGGTATTATGTATTCAAGGGTTTTGTTTTGTTTTGTTTTTTGTTTGTTTTTTTTTGGGGGGGGGGGGGGAACAAATATATAAATTATCATTTAGACATTTATTCACATGAGATTACCATACTCAACTCTTTGGACTATTGGATGACTTAAGATTGGATTAAACAATGCCCGTCAATCCAGGCCTCATTTATTACCATGGCAATGGTACTGACATTCGAGAATACAAACTGTGAGCAATTATGGCCATTTCTCAACAAAATGTAAACATTCATAAAATCACACAGATTCAGAATAAAGTAATTTGACCTGAATTTTCAACAAATTCATTTTTCATTATCTATTTTTGAAGTGTTTGTTATACAAGAACGACCAGCTCTTTCTCCAAATCTCACAAAATCTATCTTTAACACTGAGAAATTCTAGTTCATCACTGGACATACAAACATAAATGAAAGAATCTACTTTGATCAGAATTCACAATACTTTATATAAATTAGAATTGGGTTGTTTATAGTTTCTGAACTTTATAGATGACTGCCTTTTGTTGAAGAGGAGAAGATGTTTAAATCTTTTTATACATCTATACCTCGTGTATTTACATGTAGATCTTAGGTGAAATACAGAACTTTATTTACTTTATAACCCAGTTTGTTGTTCCCTCCAGAAAATTGGATTTGTGAGCCAAGTCAAACATATGCTTAAAGAAGATTTATTTATTTTAAAGAGAAGAGGTATGATATACATGAGGAATAGTTTCCATAACAAAAATTTCTTATGTAATATGAATATTAACTTCTGAGTTAATAAAATAAGACTTAAAATAGTTGAATAGACCAGAGATCAAAGTCATCAGTGTAAATTTGTTTACATGTACATGATTTGTACAGGTTTATTAAGAATGAGCAGATTATATGCTTTTAACAGAAACTTACAAATGAAATGAAAACGGGGTTTAACGTCCAAACTGTTCTGCTCTGACTGGGCTAATGAAGACGGGCATACGTCATACAGTGTGCTATGAGGGAAATTTTGCCCGGACAGCGGCACTACAGCCTACTCTTATATCGAATTCCAACGAGACCTCGCTTTTCCCTACCATCCGAATGACTAGACAGCTCCAGGCTAGAGAAACTTACAAACTGAAGATCTATTTTCCATTTGTAGAGTATACAATGGATCAAAAAAGTTGTCATAAAAAATCTTTGGACCAGTCCCATCATCATTAGACAGGATATGTGAAGTAAGACACTAAACCCCATTTCATTTCCATGCAAAGGATGTTGCATTGTGATTCTTATGTAAAGAATAAGAAGAAAAAATTCCAAGTGATAACTCAAAAATTTAAATAACAGCTTAATGTGCTGAATACATCAAAGCATGAAATGAGGTTGTGCACAATGGCACTGCACACACAAAAAAATCCCTTGTTCAGACAAAATTCTCCAACCACCATCTTCAATAGAAGGCTTGAATTCGCTTTCAACTCACGTAATACTCTACATATTTCGGCACTACTGACCAAGTTGGGGAGCCTATCAGGTTCCTCGATCATCACAAATATCAAGTCTTGCGCTGTCCTAGCTAAAATGTCTACCTGTGATAGTCGAGTTGCAAAGTTCAAGGTTCATTCAATGTCAAGTTTTCTGTGGAGGTCGCCCTGTTTCATTTGAGTGTGTTTGTGTCACAACCTCTGATTGGACACTATCGTTCATGTGTCTGCATTAAAGGGATATAACGTAGCTATCAGTCCTGGAATTGCAGACCAGTTTAGCAATATCTAGATGTTGTAAAACCTGCGGTCGTTGTTTCAGGAACGAATCCCAGAATTTCAAATGTTTATGTATCAAACGCGCCTTAAACATGTAATATTATTAGTTTGTAATGTTCAGTAAGATGTTAGTTGGTATACAACTAAAACACAATTTTCTGCTTGAACATGCACTTTAAATAGAAATCATAGTAGTGCAAATTTAGGTTTACTCTTGGCGGCTGAACTTCCTGAATTAATCATTAGTGTAGAGTTTTTATGCAGTGCAGTAATGAGTGATGTATTAAATGAAACAAATTTAAACTTAAAACATGGGATTGTCCCGGTAATATGAATAATAATGATAATACATTTCATCAGACACATAAAAATAAATATTCTAGATGAAATACATATGTTTAATTTCAAATGTTTTCTAATGTTTTTATTATAATAGATAACAGAATAAGCACCCTAAATAAAAAAAGATATTTTCATAAATATTGTTTCTCACTTCACAGATATTTTGAAACATTTAAGTGCTTCATGAATTAAGTGGAAATTAATTTTTATCTCTAAAATTTTTCTTTTTACAAAAATATACTATAGGACTTCTTTAACCGACCACTATGTAAAAAAGTGAAATGAACTTACCTTCTGTCCCCCACCACTACTACTACTATCTGTGGTGCCAGTTGTAGCTGTGGATGTCATAGACGTTAAAGATCCTCGTCTCTCTAAACTCAATTCTTCTAATGAATTAGTATCACTCTCAAGGTCCCTTTAAATACATAACAAAATAATCATTATTTAAAACACCATAGTACACTTATTTCATAGATGCATAATGGGAGAGATATATTTGCCTATTGCAAGGCTTCAAATGTTATGACTATCAAGTGCATTAGAAAATGCCTGACAAGCCCAAATTTTCAGAAAATGCATAACGTTACTCACAGAAGTTCTCAAGGCCAGACAATAGAGTTATGCACACTTTTCTATTCTTAGATATTAAAAGTAATTTATTTTTTAACTATTATAACAAGAATGGCCAGCTCATTTATTATCTAAATCTTACAAATTGCATCTTTATAAAAACAACAAAATAATGTATAATTTCAACAAATAAAATTAAAATATGCACGTGTGAAATATACTGAATAGAACTACACAAATTGTAGACAGATGTAAGACTGATGACAACATTCATAGCCTAGAAACACTGCATTCGGCTAACCGAAATCTTGACATTTGTCAACGCAGGTACCCTACTTAACAGCAACAATATGAGTGTTGACTTGTCGATTCTTGACACTGTAGAAAATATTTATTGAAAACGTAACCTGTTGCAGTGAAGTTAAGGAAATATATCTCACTGGCATAGCACTGCTCAAGTTAAACTATCTAGTTTTAAAAGGAGAGAGAGAGAGAGAGAAATGGGGTTTAACGTCCACTCGACACAAACTAGGTCATTTTGGGACTGACATATGGTCCAATTTTATTTCCATAATTCGCTTGCGCGTAGGGGTCTTTAGTAGTGGGAGAAAACTGGAGGACCCGGAGAAAACCCACGAGGTTGGACAGGCGACCCTACTCCTTGTCACGTACAACTGGAGAATCGAAACCACGCCAGTTGACTCAGTGACAGACTTTATGATAAAGCGTGCACATGCTAACCATTCAGCCATTCTCCATGGAGTATAATTTCAGTCATTTCTTATTTTTTGAAAAACAGACATAGTTCACAGTATAATTATCATCCAAAAAAATGGACTTAATATCCAGAAAATCAAAATCTTTTTTGTATATGACCTTATGTAAGTTTGCTAATCAAATATCAAAATCCATCTAACAGCCAAGACATAATATTATAATTTGTGGAATAAAATATCATAATTTGTGGCATAAACTTACATTAAATATTTGAGGGAGCAAATGCCATAGACAGTACTTGCTCTCCCTGTAGACAGTATTCGCTCCCCCCATAAATAGTATTAAGAACATACCTGCTGATTCTGCTTGGATTAAACATTTTAGGTGGTGGTTTAAACATGGTGGGTTGTTTGTCTTTAAGAGCTTCATGCATGTACATCATACGTTCCTGTATTAATTCTCTCATCTTTTTCACCCATTGTTGTTTCGTTTCTAATGATGAGGCCTTCGAAAATGAAACATTTCAAATTAAACCTAATTTCTGAATTACAATTACTTTAATGCCTAAATATCAGCAAACAATAGGGAAGATGCATGAACTAACTTTTACTTTCCTAAAACATTTTATTTATACAATTATTAAGACTCAAACAACAACTCGTTTTTGTAATATTTTTGTATCATATAGTTACCTTTAAGATTATTCTGTAATCAGAAATAGGAGCCCGACCAGTCCATAATGCAAATTTAGTTTCATCACCTTCAATGTGTTCTGTTACATTTATTTCAGATATCTGTGAAGAAAAAAATATAGCAAACTGATATTTGTAAAATCCATAAATTTTTGCAAAAAGACTTGTAAAATTCTTCTGAATTCTTGGATAGATTTTAATGATAAGACTGCAAAATAGTTTATATGAATATCAAACATTTTATTGGTTAGCTATTATTCTATATGAAAGAATACCAAGATCAAGATAGTAAGATTTCTGTCTATCCCAATAGAAAGTGCCCATCAAGGGAGATCACTCTAAGCTGTCTATTTTTTGTTATCACTTTTTTTTCTTCCTGTTACCCAACCACAAGCGGCGATCTTATAGAATATTCGTGTGAATATATGCATGTATAATTGTAAATCTTATCTACAATAAACTTTTAAAAGCAATATAAAAATTATATATATTGTGTAAACAGGCTTAAATTCGGATCTTATTCACAATAAACAAACTGTTGCGTTAGTCGAAGACAAGTCAGCCAAGTTAAACAATTATGGTGTATATTATAATCTTGATCACTGATTATTGATAATAGGTTGGAAACAAAATCATATTTTTTTTCTATCTAACAAAATCTTACCATTAATTTGAACTTAAATACATATTTAGATTTGCCAGTGCTATCCTTCACTTCTTTTCCAAATACAAGACAAACGTCAAATAAAAAGATATGGCGATCTCGTCCTTTCTTGATTAATTGTTTTGGATCCCAAACTGTAAAATTATCTTGAAGAATAACTTCACCAAGAGCTTCTAGACTATCTTCCATACCAACCAGCATACTCAAATGCATGGCATCGTTGGCTTTCTTTGGTACATTTAACATCACTTCTAAACCATCCTGAAAGACAAACCAGATAATGGTAAAAACATCAGACAAAATCATAAGGTCATATATATAAAGAAAATATTATGGTTCTTCCAAAACCACTGTGTCACTTAAAAAGAGATACACAACCGTTTTCACATAGTTATTACTCCATGTTTCTCAGATAAGCTTGGGTCACTTAAAAAGGGCTGCATGACCTTTTTCCGAAAAAATAGCAACATTCTGATTAGGCCTTGTCAAAAAATATTCTGTGATGAAATGTAGGCACAAGGTTTATAAATGAAACGTCATGAACGTGTTTCTTCACTTCTAGCAGCCACACATGCCATGCAATGTTGCCGCATAGAGGAGGTAAGCTTCTGAATGGCTGCTTGTGGTATCTTTCTCCACTCTTGTTTCAATGCAGCTTCCAGTGGTTCTTTACTTTATCATAAGCAAGGAAGAAGATATCCCAGATTAATAGGTTTTTTAAAACTATAAGTAAAGGTTACCTTTATTTCTCCAGTATGCTCTTCACAGCATGTCAATAGATCTTTTAATAACAGCTGATACTTCGTAATTCTTTGAACTGGTTTGATTAAAAATGATGCTAGTGGTTCATTTAACTTGTGTTTTTTCTGCATTTCCTGTAACATAAAAATATTTGCTCTCAAATATTGAAGGTTCATTTTTACAATTGATATTTTAGGGCCATTCACTGTGAAACATATATCCACTTATGGATCCAAATAAAAATATTGAAATAATCTACCGGACAGTTAACAAAAAATATTAATCCTTCAGACAATGATAAAAGAAAATATTTTGAAAATTTGGACTAGACTGACTATTCTAGACCAAATAGTAATATTGGACTAATAGAAGAACCTAAGGTGTGCTCGATGGTAGTGGACTCTTACGGCTGGCCCACAGATCCATTTGTTGTTCATTGCTTGCAATGTCTGTGTAGTTTGTGACATGTCTGCAGATTTCTCTTCGGTTATGTTTGCGTGAAGTGCTAAATCATTATTGCTACATACATCACTCACTTCTGAGACTGCCACACATAAGTATTTGTGTTTTTAGCAAACCGTCTATAGAAAGTACACAGACAATTACAATGCACATGTTATTAGTATTAGGTGTCAAGTGTAGTCATAGAAACAACCAATCATCAAAAACTATGAATATTCATATGCATACTCTTTCTTTATAACTGATCATTTCAGCACTACAGTAAGATCCACTGCGGACTAATTTAGGGATTTAAATAACTGAATCCTGAATGTTAAACTGTGTATCCTCTTATTTGTATTTGGCAACCAAAGAGGATCAAATCAAGCCAATAAAATAGAAAAGAAGTCTGTCAACTTACCTCAAAGAATGATCCAGCTGATTCCACTAATAACGAGTTTGATTCTGGTTTATTTTTACAATAAGTTACATAAATAGAGAATTTCTCAGCCTATAATACAGAAAAAATAATAAACAATTTATATGTAACTGACACATTAATGGGTCAGAACATATATAAAGTAAGTAATTATTTGGACTAATAAATAATTTTCTGGTTCATAAGAATTAAGTTTTCTTGTTATGTCTACCTAAAGTTGTTTAAAATCTTTATAATAAATCATAGTTCGCTAATTTCATAAACATTGTGTAGAAAAATTACTCCTGACATACCCATGTCACAAAACAATGGCCAACATCTTCTGGTATAGTTTCATACTTCTCTAACTCCTTTAGAAATATTCTGAAATAATGATAAAATATATTATAGGTAACAATCATATTCACACAGACTACAAGCTCGACCAGATTAACTAACATGGCATTGTTGACATCATACCTGGGGATCTGACACTAATCTGAAGAACATCAGAAGATGGGATGTTCTTCCTTTGTAAATTATAATTTTATGTACAAACTGGACATAATTTTATGAAGGTATAAACTGGACATTATTTTGAAGAACATAGAGAATGCAGTTTTTAATTGAAGTCAAATAAAACATTTTATTCTATAAAGGTAAGAGTAACTAATTAAGTTTGAAGAGAGAGAGAGAGAGAGAGAGAGAGAGAGAGAGAGAGAGAAAGGGGTCTTTAGCAGTGGGAGTACACCAGAAGACCAAGAGAAATCCATGAGGTTTGGTAGACGACCCAACTCATTGTCACATACAAGTTTGGGATCAAAACCATGCCACTTGACTCAGTGACAGACCTTATGATCCAAAGCAAACACATTATACCACTCGACCATCCAAAACCCAAATAAAGTTTAAAGCTACTTACTTGTTATGAAAATGATAAATTTCTTCAATATTTCCAAATATAACTTTATGTTTTCCTTTGATACCATGTGGTACATTATTACTACTATCACAACACTCATTCATAAAGCACTGAAAAACATTTATTAATCTAATTAGTAATTAATCTTTATTATTAGTATAAATTATTTGAAGAAAAGGCTTGCTATAATTCAGTTATTAGCTACTTTTAGTACTTTAGGGTTTAACATCCACCCAACATACAGTACGTTTTTTATTTTAATAATTCTCTGGCACGTAGGGGTCTTTAGCAGTGGGAGGAAACCGGAGGATCCAGGGCAACAAAGGGATCCGATTCCTTGTCACATAAAAGTGTAGGATCGAAACCACATCACTTGTCTCAACGACAGACCTTATAATATAAAGTGAACACCACACACCCCCTCTGCATTTTACAAAACATAAACCTATAATTATTACCTTCAAATTTCTAAAATAATTATTCAAAAATAAAATGCATGAAAACAATTTTGATGTTAAAAAATAATTGTAACCATGACCTGCCTCATGCATGACAATCATCACTGCCAATAGCTCTATACTTTATGCAATATTCTACATATCATATCAATTTAATATCTAGCACATCTTTATACAATTATAGCTATATATGATATCAATTATTCCCATATAGAATATCAATATTTAGCTCACCTTTATACAATTTTCAACATCTTTAACATAAGTTCTCTCTGTTTGTAGTAATTCAGCCATGATAAATCTACAATAAAATACAAAATTATTTTAATAACTTCAAAAAATAAAGCTGGATTTATTCATCTGAATAAAGACCCAATAAATCTACAATAAATACGATCTTAATGAAGCTGGCAGCCTTGGTCTTAAATAAGAACCCAATAAATCAAATATATCTACAATAATTAAATTTTATTTTTAATGATTTCATCTGTTAAAGCTGAACACTACTGGTCTTAAATAAAGACCCAATACATGTTGCTACCATACAATACCAGGCCCTCCATTCTACACCACTGACTAAGAGAAACCATTTAGAAAAATCCCAAATTACATTTTTTGGCCAACACTTGGATCGAAATAGGTTCCTCCTGGTTAGTGAGCAACCGCATTATATTTGGAATGTGTACTTACTCTCTTCTGCGTGCTGATTTACGTTTTTCTTCAGTAAGTTCTTTAGGTCTATGATGTAATTTTTCTTCTATAGACGAATCTGAACGTCTATGTGGTGTGGGTTCTTCAACTTCTGCAGGTTCCGGCTACAAGACAATAATCAAACAAATATCAATTTCTAAAATCCAATCTCATGAAGAAATAAAGAAAGGAAAAATCTACTTGTTTGAAAGGAAAATCAAGAAAATCTCTTTTTTTTTTGTATTGATGAATATCGACAAATACAATGATATAAATATTGGTTGAATAAACATTTTATGATTAGTCCAATTCATTATGTAAACATTATCAAAACTGTAGATGAACATATTACAGTTACAGGATTAAAATATCTCTTCTTTAATTAAATAAAGTCTTCTCTAGTTTGTTGCGTAAGGAGCACCACCTATGCATTATCATTTTTTTCTATTATACCCCACCATATCACTGACATCCGATTTTGCCTGCACCTGTATCTGGGATTCCTCCACCCATTTACAGTAATTTTAGTAAAGAGTTAGTTTGTCATAGTCTTGGATTTTATATTACAGTAATCATGAATAAAAAAATTATTTCAAATCATATTATAAAATCTTCAACATACCTCCTTCTTTTGTACACCAAGTTTTGTCTCCAACAAACTACGATATTTTTCCATGCGAGACAGGAAATCTTTATGGCGTTTATCTACTGCCGCACACCAAGTCATTATATTTTTAGCATGTATGTTGCCTTTAGCTACAAAACCATCAGCAAGTTGTAATAGTAACTTCACATTTTCTTTTGTTTCCTGTAAAAATGTACCATACAAAACACTGATTAAAAGACACATATATTACCTTTAAGTCATTGACTTCGTCTTTACAGCAATGTTGTATGGCTATGGAAACTGTAATTTCTCCTAACATAACATACTATCATCCGATTCATAATGATTAGGAACCTATTATTGTGAAAAAATTTTTGGGACACTAGAGCCTCCATAATCTTGAACAAGATTAAGGGGCAATCACTCTTACCAGAAACCATTGATATTCAATGTCTCCCTTATGTAAACGATGAGCCTTCGCAAGGCATTATGGATTAGTGAGACTAGTGATATCATATTACCAAAAAAACATCCTGTGCTACAAAACTTTTTATAAAACTACACGATAAAGACTTTTTGAAATAGTTAGTGGATATGTCTCCATAGTAAAGTTTTAAATGTATCTATTTCCATTACCTTGGCACGATTTCTAAAATCATAATGTTCTTTTAATAGCACTTCTGTTTCTTGTTGACTAGTACCAACTGATGTATGGGTAGCAAGATAAGCTTCACCATAATCGTGGATCCATTCCAATGCCTGTAAAAAAGTAACATTTACAACATTTATTGGAACTGGTATTCATTGGAATTTAGGAGAAAGACAAATGATCATTAACATCTGCTAAACACAACTAGACAGTTTTGAAACTAACATTCTATATTTTATCTTTATTATTGTTACTAATCTGTATATCCGTTGATGCTTCTTTCAACTTAAAAGCAAGGCATGGGGTTAACATGCACCTTCCACAAATAGGTGAAATTTAAAGCTCTAACATTTCTTTATTCTGTCTTCCTGCTTCATCATAGGTATCTTATATATCTGATAATGTTGTAAGTATCAAGAATAGCATGGTAAAAATTAATACAGGGTTCCCGCGGCTTCGTCAAACATTTTTTCAAGGATATTCAAGGATAAATATACGTCAAATTCAAGGATTTTCAAGGACATTTTTTAGCCTAAAGTTACAATTTTTCATCTTAAAAATAACCAAAACATTACCAACTATCGTTATAAAACTTCTAATCTAAATGGGATTTTCATATCAACTTACTATTATTACCAATTTGAAACAAAATTAAGGATCTCAACTGAAATTCAAGGATATTTTCCTATTTCCGCGAAATTCAAGGATATTCAAGACCTTGAAAATGAAATTTTAAATTTAAGGATATTCAAGGATTTTCAAGGACTGCGGGAACCCTGTAATAACACATTAAAGAGAGAGAGAGAGAGCAACATGGGTGTTTCAAGTCCACTTAACAAAAAGTAGGTAATATCGGGACTAACATATAAAAGATATATTCATTATGTTGATTAAAATTATATCCTACCTGTTTAGCACTTTGTTCAAATAATAAAAATTGATGACATTGGTCTAATTTTCGTTTTTTCATTGTCCAGCATTCTATCACTATATTTTCTTGATGTAAAAGTTGATCTAGAGTGGCTGTAAAATTAATTAAACAATCAGAATAATTTTCTTTAATAAAAGATGCACCAGCAGCATAACATAATTCTTTCAGAAATAGCAGTAGATTCACACAAGTATTGAAAGACATTATTCAAATAAATTTTATTGTATTGTAAACAATAATCCCTGTTTAAATTTAAAGTCTAGCTTTAAAAGAAAACATTGATGAACCCGAAAAACATGAAATTAAAAATGCAGATCTTAAATAGAACAAGATTTTGTTCAATAATTTACCTTTAACATGTCCTTCTGGGCTTCGGAACTTCATCTGCATTCCTAAGAAATGGAGATTCCTATTTACATATTTTAAAAATGTTTCTGCTGTTCTTCTGGCTAGTGTACAGGCCTACAGAAAAAAAATATTAAACTGAATGATTAAATATATCACATGTTGAGATATCAGTTTTGTCTACGATTTCACTTACCAATCGTACCAATGGGGTTTAACATCCAATCAACTCACACAAGGCTGGTACTAACATGGTTCAATTTCATCTCTATAATTTGCTTGCGCGTCGTGATCTCTAGCAGTGGGAGGAAACTGTAGGACCTTGAGAAAACCCATGAGGTTAGACATGTGACCCTACTCCTTGTCACGTTCAAGTGTGGGATCGAAACCATGCCACTTGCCTCAATGATATACCTTATGGTCTAAAACACGAGCGTCACACCAATCAGCCACCCAACAGAGATTATTCGGTCACCCAGACACTCTGCAGTCAGTCAGTATGATATATCATTTGTAACTATTGGTTTAAATAAAAAAAATCAACTTACCTTTAAGAAAGCTTCTTTCTGTTCATTATGCTTGTTTATAAGTTGAATTAAGAAAGACGATTTATCCGATGTATTAGATTTATCCGAGCTACACCAGTCTTCATCACGTTTATAATCTCTATCCAATGATTCTAATACTGACCACACCTACATGAAAATAACATAAATTACTTTAACACAGGCCTAGAAACTCACAACAATCTGATTCACACAAAGATTATCAACCCAAAAATCCATGAAAATCATGGCATATATTTCAACTAAAAATTCTGTTTACAAAGATATGATGAATTAAAAATATCACAACATTCATGATCAGCATCCTCCAAAAGTTGGATAAAATCATTTGACTTTTTAATCCCATTGAATTCTAGATTGGAGATAACTAACCTTCAATATTGTGTTTTTAAATTCATTGTTAAATAATCAATTTTGAGAATAATATAGGGTGGAATAAGCCATGAAAGTTAGATATCACAAAAATAATATATTGAGCCATTTAAGCCCTCTCACCTGTTCTGCTGTTTTATACCAATTCATGGAAGCCATTACTAATTTATGTCGTTCTTCAGCATGATACATCAACTGTTGCCATGCTAACGTAACATTTTCAGCTATGGCACGAACTAAATCGGAGTTATAATGTTGACCTTGTATCATAGCTTCAGCTTTCTGTGTTACTTGTACAACACTGATATGGGTTTTCTACAAAAAGACAAGAGACAGTCATTTAATAAAGAAAGTAACTGTTTAATAACGATTTTCATCAGAGCTCTCATTTCGGTGATCTTTGTCGGTCTTGACTTACCAACAATAAAAATGACAGGCTGTAGCACTTACCTGTCAAAACAAATTTGGTTATTTCGGGACTAACATATGGTTCAATCTTATTTCAATAATTTGCTTGCGCGTTGGGGTCTTTAGCAGTGGGAGGAAACCAGAGAAAACCCAGTCGGTTGGACAGGCGACCCTACTCCTTGGAATTCAAAATGCCACTTGGCTCAAGAATAAACCTTGTGATTTCACCCAAATGCGTTAAACCCCCAGTCAGAATATAACAGAACATAAACACACACTCTTACAAGTGCAAGACGATTTATTTTTCTGGTTCGTTATGTTTTTAAAATATCTTTCGACCAAAGAGAGACAGGAATTATAAAATTTGAAGTTTCTGCTTGAAAGTTTATATATTTCAAAAAAAATGTTTTTTTTGTTTTTTTTTTTTTAGATAATGACAAGCTTTTTTATCATTATCTGTTATGAAATCTTACCTCTATGGCTATCATAAAATGTTCATGTTCTTTCTTCAGTGTTTCAGCTTCTACTAATGTATTAGGGCAAATAAAACTAGCTGTTAACATAGATTCTCCATTTCGAACCCAACATATCACCTGTAATCAAAGCATAAGTTAATACAACAGTAACAGGTATACATTCTTTAATACAATATAAACAAGGCTACTACTGTGCCGCAGTGAGTAAGGTGCTAAATTGCTAACCAGGAGGTTAGAGGTTCGATCCTGTTGTTAGCCGAGAAACACCAGATTGGTTTCCCCTTGTCAACTCAAAGTGAGTTCCTTGCTAGGAACAGTGTCTAGTTATTCGGATGGAACATAAAAACAAGGTCCTGTGCCTCTTGACAGGAATTCAAAATAAGAGAAGGCAGTAGCGCGGCTTGCCAAGCAAAAATTTCCTGCAAAGCATCACTACTGGGCTACACATCATTTATGATTCAGGTTTTCAAACTTGACAACTGAGTCTATGGTAATTAATGAGACTGCTGTTTTTTTGTTTCTGAAATAAAAACAGATCATGCCGCCATTTTTTAGTAACGTGAGAGTAATCGAGAAACAGAATATGTTTTTTATATGGCCTTATGTTGCATGGAGTATCAATGAAATTATTACCTGTCTTGCTTCGATCTCAAAATTTCTTAGTTGCACACACTGTTCTAGCCGTCTGCGCTTTTGTTCCGAAAAAGTTTCAAGGTCCACTTCCCGTTCCTGGAGGTACTCCAGCAGAATCTGTATTCTTGAACTGGCATCGTACTGGGAGTCCGACATCAACTGAACACCAGAACTCTCAAATAACTAATACATTCAAAACAACAAGAAAAACACTAACTACGGTACTCTAAGCCAAAATAAATCTCTTTATAAATAATTTCGGAAAGTTCTCATCCAACAGATTTTTGTAATTAGAAATTTGTGTAAATCATTAAGGAGACTTGCAAATAAAAACTAGGGAATAATTCAGAAAAAATTTCCCACTAATTTTTGACCATATATGGTCATTTCAAATACTTTTGAAAACAAGGCTTAATATACTACTCTTGTAAACAGGGCTTCATTCATTACACTTGTAAACAGGGCATAGTTCATTATTCTTGTAAACAGGGCTTCATTCATTACTCTTGTAAATAGGGCTTAATTTATTACTCATATAAACAGGGCTAAATTGATTAATCTTGTAAACAGAGCTTAATTGATTACTCTTGTAAACAGGGCTTAAGTAATTACTGTAGTAAAAGGCAATACTCAAACTCAAATATTGCAAGATATTTAAAAGCGTCCTGTATTCAAGGAAATAGATAACTATGGTGGGAAATTAATCTTGAATTTCTAATGCTAAAATTTTTCTCTGTTATACCTGACATAGTTCCTGTCCCCGTTGTATTACTTCATAAGTACAATTCTGCATGTGTAAAACACTTTCATTATGCATCTGTAATAACTGTTCGGCCTTGGAACCATCAGTAACCAATTCCTGATGTTGTAATTCTTCTGACCATAACTCTAACTGTGAAGATACCTGTAATTACAATCAATATTTCTACGCATTATTGAATGTTTGTTAGATTGTTTAAGATCTTCGCTGTCCTGAAAGCAAGTGGAGTTTTCAAACATTCTGAATTTATGGCACAGCGATGAGTGAATCGAGTCCTGTCACAATTCTACCAGTCCAGACATAGTGATTTGTTTTGATATTATTATATTCAGTTGGCGATGAAATTCTTGTGTTTACTCTATTGACTACTTCCACAGAATTCTGGAATGTTCAATCCCCCATTAGTCTCCCCTACCCCTTTGTCTATAAATCTGAATGTAGTCACCATTATTTAGTATGATGATAAACTGATGAACCCTGGTAAAGGGTAAGTAATATAACACAGTGGGGACACTTTGTAATAGTCAACTTTTGAGTCAATAATATTGTTTCATGGTCACTACAAACATTATACTTTCAGAAAAAAATATGTTTAACACATTTGCAATCAAGAGAACCTATCTTTAAGGAAAATTGCTGTTTTATCCATAGTATAATGTATGTAAACCATTTCATCAAAGTCTATATTGTACATTTAAGAAATTTAATTGGAAATTTAGGAAAACAGCAATTCAAATCCACCAATTTAAATCACAAATAAATTCTTGTTGACATTACAAATATAAAGAAGAATAAAGAGCGTTTCTGTAATAACATTTTGAGTGTGGGTTATACAAAAGATTTCTAATATAACTAGGTCTTAGCTCCAACTGTTGCATAGATCATGAATATGTCTTTAACTTAAAAAAAAAACTTGTCAAAACATTGCACATACTTCTGTTAAAGGAGCAGGACCCTTTTAGAACCTATTGCTTTAGGTCAATTTAGAGTGTTTTGCATTATAATGTGATAATTTAGTTAGTACAAGTCAAACTGTGTACAGTTAAATATTTCTTTTTGTTTGTTTTAAGTTTAAGTCATTTTGAGAGAGAGTTTGTTTTAAGTTTAAGTCATTTTGAGAGAGAGAGAGGGAAATGGGGTTTAAGTCCACTCAACACAAGTTAGGTCATTTTGGGACTAACACATGGTCCAATTTTATTTCAATAATTTGCTTGCACATAAGGGTCTTTAGCAGTGGGAGGAAACCAGAGAAAACCCATCATGTTGGACAGGCGACCCTACTCCTTGTCACATACAAGGGAATCGAAACCACGCCAGTTGACTTAATGACAGACCTTATGATACAGCGCGCTAACCATTCTGCCATCCAACCCCCATGTCATTTTGATATAAGTGTTACTCATTTTGCTATATAAGTTTAAGTCATTTTGTTATAAGTGTTACTTGTTTTGCTGTGAGTGTAAGTCATTTTGTTACTAGTGCAAGTCATTTTATCAGAGAGAGAGAGAGAGAGAGAGGGTTTAACTCCACTCTCGACACAAACTAGGTCATTTCAGGATTAACATATGGTTTAATTTTATTTCAATAATTCGCTTGTGCGTAGGGGTCTTTAGCAGTGGGAGGAAACTGGAGGACCCGGAGAAAACCCACAAAGTTGGACAGGCGACCCTACTCCTTGTCACGTACAACCGAGGATTCAAAACCAAGCCAGTTGACTCAATGACAGGCTTTATGATACAGCGCGCACGTGCTAACCATTCGGCCATTCAACCCCTCCTTTATCAGGAAAAGAAATAGGGTTTAATGTCATATCGAACAAACTAGGTCATTTTGGGAGTAACCCATGAGTGAGTGAAACCAAAACACTTGACTCAATGACAGACCTTATGATCTAAAGCACACACATTAGGCCATTTGATCATACCCAACCCCTCAAGGGAGAAAATACACATAAAGAACCTATAAATATTTAATCGAATGCATCTATAAAGAACTTGTCTCATATTTAATTGAGTAAGCTCAAGTATATGTAAATAAGTTGCACAGTAATATGTATAATGTATTACCAATATAACACAATATGTGTTAAGACATAAGCAGTACACTTATATGCCTACACAATAAGTCTGCACAATTTTCACTGATGAAAACCTGTTGCTATTGTGCAGATCTGTGCATTATACGGATGCATAACTTCAAAGACTGATGAATGTAGTAGCACACCCTATATCCTATACATCACGATAAAAGATACTCTCATCTGTTTTCATTATTCAATAAGCCTATTCAAAACTGACATGATGGCCAATAAAACATCCAAGATTGATACGTGTAATACGATCTGGAAACTATTAATATGACAAAGATGTGGAGTTATGATTTATTCTAACAACATGATACAACAATCATTTCTATATTACAAAAAGCCTATCTCGGAACATTTTGAAATTCAAGTCCAATATTTATTTTAAAGATGTTTTTATGGAAGAGATGAATCTGCATATTGCAGATCCTTTTTCTGGCATGAAATGTATAAATTATTATTTAGACATTTTTTCACAAAACAAGCCCATAATTAACTGTCTATACTATTGGATGTCATAACTTTGCTCAGAATAAAGTAATTGCACTGAAATTTTTGATATACCGGTATTCACAAGTCAGGTGACAATGATAACAGAACGCACTACAGTTGTGGTGGCTTTCTGTGATGATCTACAAACTAAATTTTATTACCAAATCAACAATCTTAAACCCCTGAACAGTTAGGTGCTGACTGATTTATTACTTGTTGAGATTAACAGATTAACTTATTTTAATAAACAGTTATAATAAACTGTATGGAGAAAGTGTAATATGCATGTGTATATAAACATATATAGAGAGAGAGAAATGGGGTTTAACTTCCACCCAACACAAACCAGGCCACCCCGGGACTAAGATATGGTTTAATTTTATTTCAATAATTCGCTTGCGCGTAGGGGTCTTTAGCAGTGGAAGGAAACCGGAGGACACGGAGATAAGCCACGAGGTTGGATAGGCGACCCTACTCCTTGTCACGTACAACTCAATGACAGGCCTTATGATACAGCATGTACGTGCTAACCGTTCAGCCATCCAACGCCCCTAAAAAAATATAAGATTACTAATGTATGAAACTTTGTGGAGAATTTTTGTTTCGATTCATTGTCAAATATAATATTATAACTCTGTGATTGGAAATTATGCTATAGAGGAAATTATAATATGTCACAGGTGTGTGATAAAAGAGTTGTGTAATAACAATTTCACACCCATCTTGTTGTTTTAATCAGAAGCTTATTATTTACCTTTGTATTGTTGGCTTACTCGATTATTTTGTGATCAAAAGGACATTGGGAATATGGCAACGAAATGAAATGGGGTTTAACGTCCTACTCTTCTGCTCCGACTGCCGCCGACTGGGCTAATTAAGATGGGCATAAGCCAAACAGTGTGCTATGATGGAAATTTTGCCTGGGCAGCGGCACTATGGTCTACTCTTATATCAATTCCAACTGCCAAGGGATCTTTTATGTGCACGCCAATGTATGCACAGGTCCTCAATTTTTCATCCCCTCCGAATAACTAGACAGCTGTCCTTGTCAGGCCCTCCGTATTGCACCAATGACAAGGGGAAACCACACCGGAAAATTCTGATGAACTTTCTCGGCCAATGCAGGGATCGAACACGCCACCTCCTGGCTAGCGAGCCAACATCTTACCCACTTAACCACCATGGCTCCCAGGAATATGGCAACAGAGAAAGTCTTGGTGATGGAGAATTAAAGCAGTCTTAATAAGCTATGCTAATTTGTCTTGCTCATTACAAATCAAAACATCAACGCTTATTATGCCCCTGCCTGGATTCAATTGGATTTAAAACCGGCCTCAATATATTTTTTCGGAAAACAAAATGGTGGCGCACTATATCGATGAAATTTCAATTCTACAGAAGTTAAATTTTTTTGGACTGACATTCCTATTAGAGATTCATCTAACAATATTGTAGTTCGCAAGTGATGCATATGGTGCTAAAATCATGCATCAAGACTTTTAACTGTTTTATATTATTAAGCGTTTGTCAGATTGTCATCCCACAAAAAAATTCCATAAATCCAATAAAATTTCATGATTTTAATTTGGACCCAAATCAAAAGGGTTTAACCAATACTTCAAACATAATCCTGTATTTTTCCTTCAGTCCAGGTGCCCAAATGAAATGAAATAAAATGGGGTTTAACGTCCTACTGTTCTGCTGTCCAGGTGCCCAATGAGAAATATAATCTTCACACTTGTTAATAATTATGCCACCATATTCACATGACAAGCCTTGCCTTATATTAACATTAGATATTTTGGGGGCTTTATTATTTGATAGATGTACAGGGAATAGCATGTGCAGTATTATTATAGGTCAATACAAGCTACTCCAAACAACCCACGTTCACACGATCTGTTATAAAAACTCTAGAAATTGTCATTTGAGGTTGAACATTCATTTTCTGTAGAAGCGGAAGTTACGCCCTGCGAAAGAAATAATGAACTGAATCCACTTCTGGCTGTGTGGGGCATCCTACCACAGTAAGCTTTCACATACACCAAGAAAAAAATAAGGTGACATTCTTACCTCTAAGGCATCTCTCTCGAAAACTCGAAGCTGAAGACATAAGTCAAGTTTCATTTTTCTAGCTGCCCATAAATCTTCTAACTGATTTCTACTTTCGTTTAGTTGGTTTAAAACTCCTGAAGACAAAATAAAATTAAAATTATGCCTAATTAATATAACAACATTTGAAATCAAAAAGAATTTCTTGAACATAATGCATCTTTAATGTATGTACTGTGTCACTCAACCTCTAAGATATGGTGGTACTATGTTTACATCCTGATTTCATATTACAATTAAAATGTAAGGAAGCGGGTCTGGCTGTGCATTTCAAGGAATTTGACCCATAAATCTGAAAGTATTGTGTCCTTCCTGCAAGTGAACTTAATATCCTTTCTCTTTATATATCTGTCTATAACCAGGATGATAATACACTTACAACCACATGAATTGTGTCAATGTATACCATTCAAAATAACTCTTTTATTACAGAGACATGGGGCATAAACATCAAAAAGACTCAGTCATCCACATCTTACACCATTGTATACCAAAAACTACGCCAAATTTCTAATTAGCAAAAGGTATAACTTCTATAATAGGTTGAGGTGTGTATACAGTTTTCAATATAGATATCTTGAAGGAGCCCATTTCAAAATTCAATATCTCTCCCCTACTTGGTTCGGCACGGGATAATAATTCAAGGTACTATGCATATGTGATATAAGTTCTCTGATGCAATAGGATTTCAGTGCTGAAGCACAGGGAGAGGGGGGGGGGGGGGGTTGTCACGGTGGCTAAATGGGTAAGACGCTGGCTCGCTAGCCTGGAGGTCCCTGCATTGGCCGAGAAAGTTCACCCAGATTTTCCGGAGTGGTTCCACCTTGTCAGTGATGCAGGACGGAGGGCCTGACAAGGACAACTGTCTAGTCATCTGGATGAGACGAAAAAACGTGCACGTAAAAGATCCCTTGACAGTTGGAATTCGATATAAGAGTAGGCCCGTAGTGCCGCTGTAAGGGCAAAATTTCCCTCATAGCATTCTGTATGGTGTATGTTCATTAGCCCAGTTCGGAGCAAAACAGTAGGATGTTAAACCCCATTTTTCATGTCTTTAACTTGTTTTTTTCGGGGAGGGGGGGGGGGGGGGGGGAACCAGAGAAGAGCACTCAGATTAGATAGGCGACTGTATTCCTTCCCATATAAAAGTACAGGACTGGAATCCTGTCACTTGAGTATGGTTTAACACCCAATGGACACAAACTTGGTCAATTTGAGACTAACATATGGTACAATTTTATGTCAATAATTCTGTTGCATGAAGGGGTCTTTAAAAGTGGTAGGAAACCGAAGGTCCCCAAGAAAACCTACAGAGTTAGGCAGAAAATCCTGTTCCTTGCCAAAATAAGCATGGGATCGCAATTACGCCACTTGACTCAATGAAAGTCCTTGGGAACTTATGTGACCAACCCAACCCAATTAAACAAAACAAACAATATTAATAATAATAAAACCTTACCTTCTATATGTGACGAGTCTTGATTTGTATTGGATTTCTCTTGGTCGACATTCACAGTCCTGTTAAAATGGAGATTAGAATTTGGGCTAATCCATTTGTAAAATTTCTTAATGGCTATAAACAGCATGCACATCATTTTTAACAGAAACACTGCCATAAAACAGAACATTTTGATGACTAATATCACAAACAACATGCCAAGTTTGGACACGATAGTTTGGACGGTAAATCCAAGCACACTCATTCTGCGTAGAAACATTCTCCATTTGCAGCAAATACTGTGGGACATCAGTCGTAACTTGTAGGTATACATTTTCAATAAGTAGTACATGCAAAAGTTTATCTTCACTTGAAATCTACTTTCATATTGGCACATGTCATTCACTAATCAATTTCACTATCAACCATATTCACCGGGATATTTGATTTACACAGATTTTTTGTATGTCAAATCTAATCTTATCCATAGTTTTATTTACATTATCATGCAATTATCTCATAAATTCTATCTTATACGAACAATAGCACTCCCCGTTAAGTCATTCAAATCAAACTTTTCTCAGATCACATTCCGTCCACAACATTTCACAATTCACACTTTAAATAATGGCACATGCAAAATACAGGAATAGCATGCAAAAAAATTAATTACTACTGAAGCTCAAGTCATAATGTCACCAATTTGTTACCAAAATAACAAATAATAAACAAGAGCACATGTGTTGATTTTTCTAACATGCTTACATCCAGATTTTCTCAGTAAACAGAGAAATGATATCTATAACCTGATCATAATAAAAGCCTATTATTACTCTCTCCTTTTATCTCATTTGTGTGGGAACAATAAAACACCTTAATCTGAGCTGATTACAAAATCTTACACCACTTGTATATGACACCTACATACCTAGCCACTATATACTATAGGTTTACAGCAGGGCTCACTATTTGATCAAATCACATTCTTAGTGTTTAGAAATGTATGTCAGTTACATACTTAACTTATACACAGACCATACACAGTACTTAAATAATTTGTCTTCATGTCTCTTAGTCAAGTGAATACTTGAAAAATATCAACGTCGACCCACGAACAATTTCCGAAAACGAGGTCATCATAACTTTACGTCATTTTATATATTTGTCCACCGTCAACTTAAATCTCGGGAGGGATTATACTTTAACACACATCGCCTCACTTTCACTGAATATATATCCGTCTGCTCAATAACAAGTAATCAAAATCAAGTGACTGACGTTATTTGATATCTTTTATATCTGGCACTTAGTTCATATTCATAGTGTGGAAATATCTCAAAATATCCATGTTCGAGTTGATATAAGGTTGACTGCACAGTCTATCATCGTTTACTCACTACCTTTCCAAGGTATATATACCTACTACTATAGACTTTAGCTTATTCAGTTATATACAAATGCATAAATGACATGCTTCAATGAATGCCTGACACCTTAATTTTGAAATATATAGTCAAGATCACTTCAGTCTTTTTATTTCTGAGCTCAAGAGGTTAAAGTTGATGAAGGATTTCTTTTCAGTTGTAAAATTTAATATTACTTAAGAAGAATATATTATTTAAGGCGTGGGACATATATGTTCAACATGAAAGAACATAAAAAACTGATGGCCAACAAACTATCATTCATTTGTTACGACTACCATCTGGTTACCCTATGAAATCTAAATAATAAGACACAAGTACAATAACAGAAATGAAATTGGGTTTACCGGTAACTGCCTATTCTTATATTGAATTACTACTGTCATGACATGAACTATTTTACATGAAGGCGAATGTGTACACAGGACCTTAGCTTTTTGTACAAAAATAGAACAGAGAAAAAGTGAATTTAACATGCCATCATGTGTCCCTTCAAGATATTCTTAAATTTTATCAATACTTCTCAATATTTCAAATCACTAACAAACAATGTCTATATTTGCCTCCTTCTTACCTCCTTCTTACAAATATATTTGTAAAAGTACAGTATTAAAAATCTCTATTTGACTAATTGTAATATAACTTTACCAACTATACTATAGTATCAGCTATTGAATAATGAGACAACACCTAAAATAATGTAAAATGGAAGGAAATTGTTCATACTACAGGGAATAGGTTACATAATATGGAGACTCTCATAAAGGTCTTTTTAAATAGGATGCCAACAAAATTCTGTCAAACGCATCTAGAATTTACAATCTGATTACGGCAAAGTAATGATAACGTCCGCTTCCACAGAGGGTGATGTCACAGACAAATGTTTCCAAGCAAACTTGCCTGACAAGATCGGCATAACGAAGAAGACAAATTGTCCACCTCATCCCCTTGATTAAATATGCCATTGTGCCATTTAAAATATGGAGTCAAATCGGCTATTTAAGTCCATTCTAGTTTCAATCCAGGGCCGTAAATGCCCAGGGAAAGATAAATACATATAGAATCCTTTTCAGCATGTGGTGATGACAGGTAGGTGCTGACTGACCAGATTGCTACCCTATAAGAGGCAATGATAGGTTTTTCCTTTCTAAGATGGGTTAATACTGATACCATGATACCATTACAAAGATCCAACATTCAAATGATCATTAAATATGTATGTGTACCTTACAAATAAATATCATCTACAAAATCAATAAAAGAGGGCAATCGTATCCCTACTATCAACGGGACAAAAAATGTTGTTAATTTAATGTTGTTAATTTTGAATAATGTCATATTCATATAACCTTAAACTCCTCGAAAAATACTCAAATATTTATGTGACTCAGAATTTGAAAGTTAAAATGTGTACATCACATTGATGGCGCATCCCATTAGTCTCAGATTTTCCATACAATGTAATTTAAAATGCCCAAAATAACTGTGAAGTCAAACCTGTCAAATGAAAAATTACTTTTACCAACCAGAAGACATGAGTAGGGCTAATGCTTTTTTTAAAAAAGCTTCATACATTTCTAAACTTGTCGTCTGTACATGGTACCCAAGCTTGTCCAAACTCTTGGGTTTTCTCCGGGTCCTCAAGTTTCCTCCCACTGCTAAACGACCCCTACGCACAAGCGAATTATGCAAATAAAATTGAACCATATGTTAGTCCTGAAATGACCTAGTTTGTATGGAGTGGTGGTTAAACCCTCTCTCTCAGGTGAAAAACAAAACAAAAAAATCCCCTCAATCTATATTTGGACCACTATGACTTCCACTATAGTGTTACTTTATATTATTTCAAATTCATTAGAAAATCAAAATAATCCAATTATTACTTTATTAACCAATCTAATTAAAATACAGATCTATATTTCGTTTCGTTTTTTTTATACTTTCGATGGCCTACACTACATGAAGATCTGACAAGTTATAGCGATAGGTCACGTCAGGGGTCAAAAGACCGACTTATGACCTACGACGTCAGACATTTGATTAACCAATCAGCATTGATGTTACTAGTGGATTACCCACAGTTCCGTGAAAAACACGCCTAAAGCCCGCCATAACCGACCGTTTCATTGGCTTATCCCTGACACCATTCAGAACACGAGTTAAATAACAACTCTTCCACTTCCAAGTGTAGTAAAGACAAGTAAAACGAAATTTTGAACTATACAAACAAAAGGAAATAGAATCTGTGTTTTAACCAGATTGTTTATTAACAAAATATCATTACATCCCTTTAAATTTACAGCTTTATTCAAATGTTGTGTAGTTTTGTTATGAAGTGATAAACATAGATTGTTTCTGCTTCATGTCTCATGTAATATTAACATGTACCGAGTAACCTGTGTTATACCATAATCTATTGTGGGTAGGGCAGGTCTTAGCAGAAGGGCAGGTATCCATTAATGCACATGATAAAATGGAAACTTCTAATGCTAATTTAAGTCCAGGTTAACAGAATAATATGTAAATGGTTTCCTTTCATTATAATAGACAAACAAAATAGTTAGGAGGTTTTTATTATGACTATAGAAAAATCAAGTTTGGTGACCTAATTAAAACAGATATAAACAAACATGGTGGTTATAAGTTATTTTAAATACTCCTACACACCATGGCTTTTGTGAACCTACATAATAAAAAGGTCTGATCTGATAAAGTAAGATTATAATTCAATTTCGTTGTAGGTTCAAGTAGATTAACATCTGATTTATTTTGTTTAAAGTCGGTGTCAAGATTAAATGAACCTCAAATAGTCATTACCAGTGGACCAAAACCGGAGGACCCAGAGAGAACTCACACATTCTTAGTGGAATACAAATTGTCTGATATATAAAGGTTACGACTCTTTCTGGCAGGACACTGGGGTGGTGAACATAATCAAATCAACGTAAGAAAATCGTAACAATCATAACAATCCTCAAACCCTATAATAATACTAAAACAATTTTTCTGGCTACGAAACATCTTTTAGTTGTTTAGTTCAATGCCAAAACATATCTACAGTTCTGATGAATTTCCTAATAAACAAGGTGACTTAAAATTAAAACTTTTTTTTTACAGATCAGACAATTTTATGAAAGAGAGGGAGAATGAGATTTAACATTCAGTCTGTAAAAGTAGATTTTTTTGGACTATTATATATATCATTACTTCACTAAATCGCATGTGAATAAGACAGTGGGGGTTAAATGGGCAAAAATAACATGGTGTTAGGGTTTCGAGATTTCGTTTATTTTTTCAACAAAGGGATATTTCAAGAAACTATGAGTAGATTTGATTATGTAACTTTATTATTGGATGGGCATATCTCATTAACACAAATGTTACATTCCTAAATTCAGCCCTTACAGCAATTTTAACCTAAACAGCCATCCATGGGTTCTATGTCGGCTGTATATGCTGGTCATGACCAAGGGCTGTGGAAAATGCCTGAAACTTGATCTGACCCTTCGGTCATTCTACAAAACGAAAAAATAGCATATTTTTCAAAACCAAATTTTCAAACATGGTTACGATCAACCTCTGCCATGTAGCTATAAAATTCTATATCGCACACGTATAGAAGCCACATTATCTCATGATTGGTGTTATAGAGTTGT